AGCAAGTAGGTAAGCAAAGCCGTTTCGACAGCAAAAATTTTAAAAAACCGGATAACTTGGGGTCGGGGGTTTGGCACACACCTACCGTAATTGTGATTGTCACTATCCGTGCGCACAATGGTTAGTTTCTACACCCATTGTGAACATGACAAACCAACCAAAGTCAAAAACCGGATTAATCAATAAATACGATTTCACTCTAATCTGTTCTGGATAGGCATGGTTGTATATCATAAAAATGTAGTCTTATATATTATATACTTAGTAGTCGCTCTGTCCAATTACTCGGGTTATTTTTGGTGAATTGCCCTGAAGTTACGGTGCAACACTTTTATTTCTTGCTAACCTTGGCAATATTGGTGAAACAATTACAAATTAAGAGAACAGATACGAAATTCAACTACTACGCGATGTGAAATTTTGTTCTAAATTTGCAATTTTACTATAAAGCGTGTGTCGAGTGGATTTGCCTTATAATCACGAGCGAGCTTACGAAGTTCTGTCATCATTTGGTGGAAGATTATTTGTAATTATTCGCAATAGTTAAGTGCGAAAAGAAAATTGCGAAGGTGATACAATGAATTGTTCAGGGTTCCATCTATGAAATATTGAGTGGCAAATTTAAAATTATGAAAAGACACATCTCATTTATTCCATTCCAGACATTGCAACACCTTGAAGACTGTGGACAGGAAGCCGGTTAATTTTAATTTGGAGGAGGTTGCCATTTTCAGTATGTACATACTAATATAATTATTGCATAAAATTATGCTCTAGAGCGTGTTTAGGCACGAGCATGACCAAAATTCATATTAAAATGTCTTCATCTTAACGTAACATGTGTAACCGGTCTAACCAAAACGCCTCGCATTAGAGAACGTAACAAATGAATAATGAAAGTGCCCGCCCGCTTTCTGCTACGATATTATCTATATTTTATACTTTCGTCGTCGTTTTTTTGCCCTTTTATGGCGGCGCCGCATGAAAATGTCGACCGTAGCCTGTTTATAAGTCAGGGCTTAATGGTCCCCGGGACCGTGTCTTTTAAGGCCCACAGAGGGCGCCAGGTATGCTGGTGGAATCGAGCCTCGGAGAGTCGTATTGAAAGTTCTGGTGTTTTAGACAAACAACCCGATGGAAAGCGTACGGCACCCCATTTCCGGCTGTTGCGGTTTTTCCCGGTATTAAGTTTATTTTAAGCCGCCCGGGTTTATTTTTATAGTAACGGGAGAGAGATTGGCCGACGCCCCAGAGTTGTTTGCGCGGGGGTTTATTGGATAGTCGACGTATTTCCATCAAGGGAATAATGATTCTATTTAAGGTAAGGTAGACAACCACTGCGCCAATTAGATTGCTTTTTCATTTTGCAATAACCTTTGCTCGTGTACGGAGAGTTGATGTTAGAATCGAACCCACGCCATCAGGGGGTTTCTTTCTGACGAGTAAGGACTAGATATATGGTAACCTTTGGATTCTTTCAAAGGACCTTATTTGTCTCTTTCAATATTCTCTTTTTATTTCACCCCGATTGTCTTTAGATGGTTAAGTAATACCTTATTTCAAAGTTCTTTTAAGTGTCTCTTCAACATTCGAGGGATATTTTGGAATCTCCAGATATTTTCAAGTGTGTAACTCACCTTGAGATAATGAAAACTGATACAAACTATTGTCGACAATTCATTTTGAGAAACGCGTTAGAGATCTGATCCAATCTGACTCCATCGTTATGGGGTTGATGGTTAATAGTAATTTAATATGGGATTTAGTATTGAAACTGAAATTATGACATAGGGATGTACGACCTTGCTCATCATGGCAATAGTTGTGATGGTAAGGTCACTTTACACAATAAATAAAAAAGTGAAAATATCTGATTTCATACCTGGGGACACTAATGATATTATACACAGGGTTTAAAATTAATTGAGATCTTTAATAAACCACATTGACTAGTACTGGTAGCTCATTAGTTGTAAGTCTACAAAACTTAAGCCCGTAGACGTACAAAATACAAATTGAAATAATTCGCTTTTTATTCACGCAAAAATTGTAGATCAAAACAAATAATACACCTGGTCCCTTCTCAGGCGACAGCGGTCTCAGACGTCTAGTAAGACAAAATAGTGCTATAATTCCTAAAAGTGAATATCCGTCTGCTAACAGCCGACGCTATCAAAAAACAGAAGTAATTAAAAACAAAAACAAGTTAAACCGAAAATCTTTATGAAGACAGTTAAATTTTAAATCCAATATAGGTCTCACTTCGGGATGTATCAACAGCTGAATTTAAAATTTTTAACCCTTTCAATGCTGATTCTTTCAGCCAAAAGGACCGTTCTCATCTCCCTTTCGCACAAAAATCACCCAGTTATATCAAAAGACACATTCAATGCGTCATAAATGAATTTGGAAATTACACCCAAATCTGCCTGTCCTGTGTTGTCTTCAAAATTGTTCAATAAAGTACTTAACCAGAAAATTGTCAAAAAGCGAAAGTCGGGGGAAAGATAAATTGCAAGCAATATTAAAGGGACATGTATATTATTTGAAATAGAAATAATCTTTATATACTAGAGATATATTGCACTCTCTTCTGAGATCAAAAATGAGCAGGACTTATAGTATATTGACGAAATGGTAGGAGCGCACAGGAGAAAAAATATTGTTGATAAGAAAATGTAAAGGAATTCGAGAATCTCACATGCTTCCGAATTCGATGTAAGTTTTATTGTCTTGGTTGTTTACTAAATATTTTTTGCGAACAATAGAGACTACTCAATATCTGTGCTTCCACCATTTTGAGGACAAGATTAATATTATTTTTATGAAGCTGATAAACGATTATTACTTTTGTTATACGTTAAGTACCTTTGAGATATGTTTTACAAGAAAACTCTTTAGAAATTGTGGTCATAAGGACTTTGACATTTGTCATTTCTGATAATTACTTAACACGTCACTCAATGAGTGTATTCGTGTTCTTTTGCAAACATGTACCCATAAACCCATGGCCGTAGTATAGTAGGCAACACATTGAAAAATTTTTTGTGTCTTATTTATTAAACACAAATCAAACGCGTAATTAAAGTGGGGCTTGTTAAAATTGTCGCATAATCTTTATTTACGAAATCAATTTTGTCATTTTTCCATTCTTCCGTTTTTATTAATGAAAAAATTTTAAGATATGCTATAAGATATTTTTTTGCACAGGAACCACCTAAGGATTCTATCAAAAGGGTGACTGACAAAAGTTTTCTGAAAGTGGCTTAAAAAGTTGTAAAGTCGCCAAAATTGTAATAAATAGGGTGTATGATAGGCAAAATTGATATTTTAAGTCCAAATATGTGCGCATGGCCCTTAAATTTTCGTATGTACTTTTGAGGATCATTCGAACCTGGCCAAAAATATGAGACTCTCTAAGGTGTAACAATTTTACCAATGTTACTGCTTTTTTATTTAGCGGTGAAAACTGATTGCATAAAAATGACACTTAGAAAATTATCATAAGATGTATTAGCCCATTACGAATTGGAAAAATAAAATTTATTATTTGTAAAAAGGTGACGACTAACTCCTGCGAATGGTCCCCAAAATTGATCATGGCGAAAATTTGGAAGGTACATACGCTTTTGTCGCGTTATTATTATTTAACGATATTTTTCATCGGAGTCACCATTCTATGTTACATATTCGCAAACCACGAGCACCGCAAGCAAAGGCTAACAAAACGGCCAACCTTAACAGAGTTAAATTGAACTCGATTAGAAGTGAGCAACTGCCGTTTTCGCCGCAACCCGAGCTGGTTTATTGCGGATGCTCAATCTTTGCTTAGAGTACCTTATCCAAAACGTTCCGCTTTAATAAGAAAAACGTTAAGAAAGGTTCCTATGTATTACCAATTTTAGATAGAATAAATAGCTCCAGCAGGTTGATATTCATTATTTATAACGTCTTATTGTGCAGTGTTAACAAAAGATCACAATGCTATTAATTGCAATTCACGAATCCCATCACATGGATGGGCAGTTATACATATCAGTGTTCTGTGGAAAAATCAGCTTTGAGTTAGATTCGGCGAATCTATCAAAAATGTTGCGGAAACTATTCCAAATATTCAAGTGCTGCTATTATGCGATTTCAATTTGCCTGATCGTAGTAGAATTAGTGACGGTCGGGGTCTACGAGTGATATTCCCGTAGGCTGTTCATATAGTGAGAAATGCTTTCAACTTTGTAAATCACGATCATCTAATAGATGTTCCCAATATTAATAATGTACGTTTGGATTTGTGTTTTTCATCCATTTGTAGTTGCATGATAGTGAAATCAACCGATTCTTTGTTAGGTTATGGTTACAATCACAATTCACTTACATTGTTGTATTTGGGGTTAATGAATTTAAAAATTTAGGGTCATTGCTTGTTAGCTAATTTTAGTGAACCAATTAAATAATATAACAGTTAAGGAGTAAAGGAGCTTAGGTTTTATAAGTAAGTTTTTGTATTATTGACATTACTTTATAAAACGCACGTTAATAGTCTAGACAATGTTGAAAATAAATGTTTATGTTGATACGCAACAAACTACGTACCAATATTTCACCAAAATAGCACAATGTGCTTTTAAAGAAAAGATAACAAAAAAGAAAGAAAAAACATTAAAGGACGGAATATGTGAAGCATATTAAATCTAGAAAGGTCTCATAGTTCATTAATGTACTAGCTAACACTTATAGTTTGAGAAATTTCTATTTTGGCAGACGAGCTTTGGACCCAAGTGGTAGCAACTCTAAGGTTACTTTCCATAGAAGGGAACAATCTAGATTTGGTTTGACATTTGCATCGTCTGGCATGTGTGCTCAACTTTTACCTTTTCGTTTTAGAGAGCAAGAAGCAAACTTAAGTTAATCAATTGATTTATGACAAAAATATTCCCAATTTAGTACCCCCATTAATAAAGAAAACTCTATTGCAGACGGGCTAGATTCTAGCTAACATTTACCTGGTGACGACAGAGTTTACAACATTCCAATTCTTAGCTGTGGTATCTCATCTCGCTTGCTGCTCAAATTTCTGAAACCAAAAAATACATCCGTTAGGAAAATTCACAAAAATTGAAGCGTAGGTTCCGTAACCAAAAAAAAAAAAAAAATCAATAAATAAAATAAAATGCGAAAGACACTCTGCTAAGTAAACATAATCAAACCACTGGCTCTTAAAACCATAAGAGTGAAAAATTCACTCAAATATCGAAGTCATTATATGTAACGAGATATTAGCTGAAATTAAAAAAGTTAGTCGCACAAGAGGGAAGCCATTAAACTGACATTAACGATTTTTTATATGGACGTGTTCATTTCATATTTAAGTGTTCTGGCATGATTTAACGAAATCCACACACCCGAAAACTGTTTTGGAATACGAACATGGCAAATTCATAATTTTATAAACATTACACAATTTATTCCTTGGAATACAGCGCTTGAACTTTTAATTCGACAATTATATACGTAGTGGTTTTGCAGATTCAAGAAAGCGGATCGGCTGACTCGTAATAGATAAATCGATTAACTTTTGTGAATTAGTTGGTTTAATGCAAATTAAATGTAGAGATTTGTTTTTATATAACCGTCAACTCTTGACGAACTATTGCTATACAAAACCTTGACGTTTTAACCCAATTAATACCTAAGTACAAGAAATGCAAATATAAAAACCTGACGGTTTCTTCCTTGTTGAAGAAATATATAGGTATATTAAAAGTTCTTGCCGATTGTTAGTTGGAAAGATGTAAAAATCTTTTTGCATCCGCATATTGTTTCTTCTTGAATATTTGAAACTAACCAGAACTTTATTATAGTTAAATAAGAACAAACGTTGTTCAGATTTTCACATAAATATATTTAAATGACAGCTGTTTCGGCAACACCGTGCCTTTATCAACATTAAATATATTCCGGTAAAAATGAACCAACGATTAAAATACGTTAAACTGAGAGGAAATTCATTCGCCGCTTCCATTAGTGCAGCTGATAGGCGCCTACCATAACATAACAATCAGGATCAGAAATTTTCATCTAGTATCCACTATTTGTTGGATGTGTATGTATGTGGAGGTCTTATTGAATTGTATATCGCAGGTATATCGCAGACTAAAAACTATAAGATATGTTTTGATGCAGAGCAACTCGACCACATGTAGAACAAATTCGATGGGTCAAATGTCAGCAGACAAGTTCTATTAAAATTAGTTTATCAATACCTACAGATATGACTTTTTTTTTAATTTTTAGTTACAGAAGCTAGAATTAGTTTCGTTATTTAAAATTCGAAATATGTATTTTTTTCAGTGACTCCTTGTAGACATAAGAGGATCCTTCAATAGTCTTTACAAAATGCCAGGTATTAAAAAGTAGCACTGCTAACTAGTCAGCTGTATCCATCACATACTTAATTCACATTGTCGATTGGCATATACAACTTTTTTTTTTAATTGATAAAAGTTCATGCAATATCTGCTGCTGTTTGCAATGGTTGCTGGAAGAGTGAAGAGTGGATAATGATCGACAAAATCCACGATATGATTTTAACTGATTGACTAATCAAAGCGCGCAAGATAGTTGAGGTCACTTATCGCGAGGAAGGTTTGAATTTTGCACGAAAGAAAAGCAAAGAGGCCGCTCAAGTCGGCCGGTAAAGCTATGACCACCGTCTGATGCGATGTTCGCAAAATCATTTGCACTGTACACAATAATACAAGTATTGTGTCTTGAAAAAGAAAAAAATATTCCCGGGCGCTGCACAGTTGCGATTGCCAAAACTATGGAATTAAACATTCACCGAACTTACCAGATTTGGCCCAATGACTGTTTCTTGTTTAAAGAAATTGCCTTGGTGGATAAAAGTTTACGTCCAGCAAGGAATTAGTCGCTCAAATAATTGCCTACCTTGAGGAGTTTCCAAAATACAACTTTTTAAACTGCTTAAAAATTGTGAGAGAGCTTAGATTAGTGTATAGAATTGAAAAGATCAAAAAATAATTCCTTTTTCCCCTTGAATTAACGTCTTTTCTAAACGACAACGATAACAGGAAATATTGCGTCATTATTGAAACCGCTGAGCAAAGAAATCAAGGAAAACGTCGTGAAAACCAGGCGGTGCACATTTGCGATGGACAAAATTGTGGAATTAAAACATTCACCGAAATTATCAGATTTGGTTCCCAGTGACTGTTTCTTGTTTTACGAAATTGGCTTTGTGGATAAAGGTTTATGTCTAGCGAGGAAGTAGTCGCTCAAACAATTGCCTATTTTGAGTATCTTCTAAGATCCAACTTTTTAGACGGCTTAAAATTATAAGAACGTATAGACAAATGCACAGAGTTGCAATTATCAAAAATAATGATTTCTTCCACTCGTATCAGTCTTTTCTTTTTCTATTCATCCTTTTCCGTTCTATGTTGTTGCACAGCTCTCTTCCGTGGCGCATGTTTGTACGGAATAAGCTGAAAGTAATTTCGATCGATTTAGCCCGATCAGAAGAGGTTGAAAAAGGTCCACGGCGTCTATTGAAAATTCGCACTTTCCAAAAGACATCTGCCGACAAAAAGCCGGCAATAATTGCGAGCGGCGTCATCCCCAACCGGAATCGATATCGTGTCGATTCGAGTTTTGCAATTCTCGAAGGACATCGGGAATCTCCGGGACATCTGTAAGGAACGATCATCGTCAGCGGGGACAGGCAGTCGCGACTGATTTACAAATTCCGCGCGGAATTGTGGATTGCCGCGGTCGCCGCTTTCCCTCCCGCTAAAACAAAATGTTTGAAACGGCTGCTAATAATATAGAAGAGGCTTAAGGAGCTCCCCGTTCGTTTCTTTTATTAACTGCCCGGCCGCGGATCATAAAGCCCGGCTCTATGCTGACAAAAGTGCTTGTTTTAATATTTATGGCGGACCCGCTTTGTTCGCCTGCCTCGTATTTGTCTAAATTAAGTCCATTGTTCCGGGATCCGTGTTATTGTGTTTGGAATCTTGGACATGTTTAAGCGCAGAGTTATGATTCGGAAATTGTTTGTTATTATCTAATTCCATATTGATGATTTAACGGTTGCTCTACGCGGTCTAGATTTCTCGCTTCGTAGCATCGTTGTCGACAAGCGACGAGACCGCGTGTCACGTAGAATTCTATTAATATGTTTTTCCTATTTCTGTGGTGGTTGGAGCGTACGTTTAAGCTTAAACTAACGAATTGGAGTGGTTTTGGTAATGCACCCAATATGGATTTTGTGAGGGTAGAAACCGCGATTGTTTCATTTTCAGTAAATACTTTATCAAATTATTTCGAACATTTATCCTTCTTTGAAGTAAGTGGTTTTGATATAGAGTATCCATTAATAATTGTGTGCCGGTGGTAATTAGTAAATGTTTTTTAAAAGAGTGAATTCTTTTGTTGCATATGGTACAGGGTGAATCAAACATAGAGTAAAGTACATTATCTTAATGAGTCAAAAAGTTATGAGAAAGTGTTAGTGTTATTTAAACGAATAAAATACTTTTTTGAAATCGAATACCCTATTTTTAAATTTTGTTACGAATTCGTTTTGAAATTCTTCAGTTTTTCAAACTCCAATTTAAACAAGATCCAAAAGGTTTTTGGCAAACGCTGAAAGACCTTAATGTTAATTCTAAGCTCAGGACTACGGCTGATGGTTTCGGCACAGCTGAATCATTTAATAATTTTTTCATCGACAGTGTTCCTGAAGTGCACGATGGCGGCAACGATATTATCAATGAATGCTATGGTAACAGACCATTTATAGGATTAAAAAATAAATTTTCTTTTTCTGAAGTGACTGAATAGACAGTGGAGAAGGTCGTTAGTCAGATAAAAGGTGTTGACTGATGTGATATTAAATTTGTTTCTCTCGTTCTTCCCCATCTCACACTTCGTAATTGAAAAAGTCTCACGTTGTACCAGTATTAAAGGTTCTCTCTCCAAATACTATCTCTGATTTTCGGCCAATTAGCATATTGTGTGCGTTGTCCAAAGTACTAGAGACAATTAAAAGTGTACTAAATGGTATTTCACCCACCGCTCAATCAGGTTTTCGTTCGGGTAATACCACCGTTACGGCTCTTTCGTGTATGAGGCAACAAAACATTGGTAAAAATACGTGTTTGGTACTCTTCGACTTCAGCAAGGCGTTTGATATGCTAGATCACGGTATACTTCTCAAAAAGGTTGAGTATGAGCCATTCAGCTATGTATTTCTTTCAGAGTTTTTTGGAGGGCCGATACTAGAGAGTACTCAGAAAGGAGTACCACAGGCAAGTCTGTTGTTTTCAGTCTATACAGTAGACTTTTCGTATCACCTCAAATATTGCATGTCTCATTATTATGCTGATGACATACATATTTATTATCCATTTTATAAAGATAACGTAGATGATGCAAGTCATTATATAAATACAGATTTAAATATAGTATCTCGGTTGCCTTCGGCTCAAAGTTTGCTTCTTAATAATAATAATACTAAACTACTTTTTTTGGCCCTAATAGAGAGAGTGTCTGCGACAATTATAATTTTAATATAGTTTTAAATAATGTTAGGTTAGTACCTGTGGATGTCTGCAGAAATTTGGAAATTCTGATGGATGTTAATTTAAGATATGAAGACCATGTGGCAACATTAATAAAAAATGAAAATGCATAAGACAAAGATTCGACCAAAACTGTGTGATAGTCTAATAATATTGAACTTGGGGTATGGAGACGTTGTTAATTGGCCGTGTCTTAGTTAAAAAAACAAAGGATGTCTGCAAAAAATTCGGAATTGTTGTTTACGTTATTGCTATAACCTCAGGAAATATAACCATATTACTGACTACAGTCGAAGTGGTTGAATCTCTCTGAAAGGTATTACTTGCACCTTGCCACTCTAGTATATAAAATTAAAAGCACTGCGGAGCCGTCTTATTCATTTAACAAATTGTTATAAAAGTCCAAAATCCACCAGCGCATTGCACGGCACCGCTAGTTGTACCATTTTGCTGTTAAAGACTGTCCATCTGC